TCAGTGCACAATACTAAAAGTAAATAATTCTTGCTCAGGAAACCACCATTTGCTTCTCTCTTTAAGAGATACAAAGAGATATTCTAGCTCGCCACACCTTGGTGTGAAGTTCATACTGATTACTTGGCCTGATTATGAATGAAGGAGAAGGGAAAACACACTAGATATAAAGACCTCTAGAATAAATCAATAATATCTGCTCTGCATTCCAATCATTTCTTTTAGTCAGCTGACACTTCCTCTAAGATTTCTTTATCAAGAGATCACTCAATTCAAGAAATCACCATTTGGTTTGTGATGCATGGTTACTGAAATTTCATGTCTTAGGAGACAAGAGCAAAACAAGTTATTTTGACTTTGAGTTTTATTTTGACAACAAGGAAAGTCCATTGAAATGGAAGAGAAGAAAAACTAAACCTGACTCCTACTACTGCAATGTCAGCAGTTCAAAACCAGCAGCCACCCCACTGGAGAAAGATGGGACTCCCTACCCCGGTGAAGAGTTTCACTCTGAGAAGCTCTCAGGGGCAGTTCTACCCTGTCTTACAGCATCACTATGAGTTGGCATCTACTCAGTAGCAGTGAGTTTGGTTGGTTTTGAGATGTGAAAGAAGCATTCACCTAGATTTTCTCATTTAATATTCATAACAATTCTAGAAAGGTTCCACTTGAGGTGAGGAAATTTAGCTTCAAAGAGGTTGAGAAAATTACTGAAGGTCACATAGCTAATAAGTACCATAGTATAATAAAAATAGACTCATGACTGTCTGACAGAAACCATTCTTCTTCCATGACCTAATTTTATTGGAAATTTGGGGAGGGGGGCACTGTGTTGGAAGCAGTGTAGTATCCAAAGAAGGAAACATTTTCTGTAATTATATGTAAACCCTAAATACAAGAAAAGCTAGCATCAAAAAGTTCCAGAAGAAGATGAAGGCTACCCCAAGGTCAAAGGCACTAATAGGGAAGGTTGTCAAACCAGTAATGTTCTGATAACGTTTTTCGTTAGGTGCCCTTGAGTCAGTTTCAACATACAGTGACCCTGTGTACAACAGAATGAAACATTGGCTGGTCCTCCATCCACCTCACAATTATTCTTCTGTTTGAGCCCATTGTTGCAGCCAGGAACTGGTCTGTATGATCCCATTTGGGAATGTGTTTCCCTTATTATGTTAATGGGACAAGATTAGTGCAGGGTTTATCTTACATCTTTCTCCTCTGAAATATAAAATATAAAAGAGATTGACAAGCCTGTGAGAGAAGCAGAGATGGAGAAGACACATGAAACTTCATGACAATTGTGTAGGAGCAGAGGCCCAGAGAGACAAGGACCTCCTTCAACAGAGTCCTTTTGAGCTGTCCCTTTGAATTAGGACATCGAGCTTCCGAAACAGTGAGAAAAATACACTTTTCTCTGTGAAAGTCACACACTTGAAGCATTTCTCTTATAACAGTACCAGACAACTAAAACACAGAGTGAGGCATGTCATAATAGATTTAAAGAAACTGCAGTATTTCTAGAGAGATCTCACTAGTAAACCTATCTTTGAAAAGGACACAACTGTCTCTAGTGGTATATTCAAAAGGCAAGAACAACAACGGGTATATGTTATTTTGTGAACAGAAGCTGAAGAAAGAGCAGAACAACTCTATTCCACTTTTATTTTTATTTCCTCTATCAAGAATCATCTTGAATCACTTCTCGGCCTTTTGACTAAGATCAAGTGTAAGAATCATCTTGAAGCTAGCGATAGAAGAGATACCTAAATGTCAAGGGAACTAGATGATATCAAGTTCCAATTTGACATTCAAATATGTTTAAACATGTACAGAATAGAAAAAGCACCAGAACAAAATTAATAGGAAAAAATATGTCAATTTTCAACATGCGCAAGATCGCTTTAGCAAGATAAACTAATTGTAACTCAATGCCTACCCTACTGCACCACCGGGGCTCCTTGATCAATAAAATGGGGGTTGAGAACTCTACTTCGTAAGTCAGCTGTGAGGATTATGAATAAGTAGAATAAAAAGATGACTATACATAAATACCTGGCATGCAGTAGACATTCAATAGAAGGTAACTTCTGTTATTATACATATTACTATAACCAATCTGAGACTGGAGGTAGACTGCATCAGCGTATCTTACTGAAAGATGACTACTCTGCTCATGAGAAAGCACATCTTATGAACTGGTAGACTTTAACAGAAAGCAGCCTAGTTCTCTAGCTGAGCACTCATACCCAGTGGAATGCTAGTTGGAAAATATTTTCAATTTTAATAGGTCTATATGTTCATTTGGGTAGCTGTGCAGACCCAAGTCTGAATATTAAAACACACCTGAAAATAGGGTATAAACCTTGCTTTGGGAGCAAATGGAAAGTCATAATGTTTATCCATGGTTATAAAGTTTCTTTTATAAGCTGGAGGTCTGAAAGACTTATTTCTCCTTAAACACTATTCCTGGACCAATCCTGGATCACCACCAAGCAGATGCCAAAACTTATGATCCAGCCCTCTGAACAGAAACTACAGTGTGCTGGGGATCCTGGGCTGGGCTTGCCTGTTTTGTGTGCCAATGTCATGGGTTGTTGGGGTTTTTTTCCCCATGGGTGCGTGGGAGGGGGGAGGGAGATGGGTGGGAAATTCTTACAGTCTGTGGAGAGGACTGGAGGGGCCAGGCCTAACCATCTCTCACCCCTGGAAGAAGCTGCCAGCCAAGCTCCTGTGGGACCTCCTAGATGGCATGTTAATGCCATTAAAGCCTGTGCTGTCCCCAGAAAGAAAGTCAACAACAACAAAAAAGCAAATGTATAATAACACTAGTACAGATGGCTCAACTGATAAGATATAAGTCAAGCTGGTTCTATGGAATCTGACAAAAGCTGAGGCAAGAAAACGAATTAGGCTAGAGAATCCAGGACCTCAAAAATACCACACACACACACACACACACACTTCTCCACTTCTCTCCCTTCTCTTTCCTGATTTCTATAACTGTTCATTATCGTGCCTTCTGGCCCCCACATTATCTACCAGTCGGGAACTTACTGGTTTCCAATGAAGATAAAGCAAACCAAAAAGAGAAAAAGAAATCAATAAAGCCCTAGGCACAGGCAGTCTTTGTCCCATAATAATCTCTCTCCCGATCTCCTCCCAAGTCTCACTGGTTCTCTTGCAGGGATCTGAAGTCTGCTTTTGGTTGGACCTCCTGTGTGTATCTAGGGCTGATGCTTATTTTTATTAGATTAAGATTTCCAGCCTAGTCCCTCTGTGTAATCCTCACGGCCCTCCCACTTCCAACAGACACAAACACGTACACGTACACGTACTCAAGTATCTGTGTTTCTGTAATTAGGGGGTGTTGGGGTAGATGGGGGAAAGATAAGCAGTGGGAGAGGAGAAGGAGGAAGGCAGGTATAGACGGAGAAAGAAAAAAATGGGTGGGAAAAGAGAAGTGAGAAAGATTGCATCCTCCTCAATAAATGACAGATTTTTTTATTCCTCAAAGGAGGGTGCATGATATATTTTGAAAGTCATTCACTAACAAAGCTACCTACATCTTCTAAATATTTTTACTTACCATTTCATGACTATCCTGAAGCATAAGGAGATGCGAATCTTTGGCGAAGCAGAATTCCAGACTGGAATTCCAGTCCTTTTTCTCCCCGGAGAAGTAATAACAATGGTCACCGTACTTCATCCAGCGGTCTGGGCAGCTGGGACAACTGGCACAAGGGGAGTCGTTGGAGTCTAACAAAGAAGAGGACTTGGTTCACATCTTCCTGGGCCACAGGGTCTTGGCAATTAAACAGCAGATAAAAATGATAGTGCCAGCATCTTCCTTGCCCCACTACTATGCAGATTAAGGTTTACAGAAATGAACCATGTCTGGTTGCAAATGGAGGGATCCAGCTCTGTCACTGGTGGTATCACTGCACTAAGCACGGATGGATTCTGACTCCAGCACGGGGGAGGCCATGTGGACCATCTGGCTGAGGACTGTGAAGAGGGCCCAGGACTTGGATCTTGATGCACCTGCGTTATATGCTCGCGGCCTAATTTGTTCAACTGCATAATGTGCGTGGCTTAAAGCTGGCAAAATCTTTCAGAATGCCCAACCTCCACATGATTCCTGACGATGGTACAATGGACAAGAATGAGAGAGAACAACCTTAGCTAGAATGAAAAGTTTTATCTCTTTATTATCACAGATGCAATGTCTGTTACCATTGAAGATTAGATTTAAAACTCCTGCTTCACCAAAAGAATTTCTTTTAGGGATTATTTTAAGCCTTCCAGAGAGAGAAGGGTATCAGCTACTAAAATGAAAAGTGAACAAACTCTCACTGAACTTTTAAGAAAAAAAAAAACATAGAATCTCATTTCTTTCAGCTGATTTGATTATAGTTCGGTCAAAATGAAAAGAAATCAAATAAGTGCTCCAGGTAATTTCAACTAAGATTCCATAATTCTATTGAAATCACTTTCAGCACAATTTCACAGTGAGCAGGCATGAGCCATTCCACAGTGAAAATGAGAAGAGCCGGAGTTCAAGGGAATTCTGGTTTGGTTTTGCTGGGTTTGGCAAGTTTTCCATCATGGATAGGTGCTTACTACTTCTAAGAATCTCACATTATAAGCATTGAGTTTTGCTTCTTGAAAGTTTCTACCTTACATTAAGTGCATGTTCTACTGTACTAGGTAAACACATATGTAATTTAGACTTGCAGAATACATTTTATACTTTTTCTAGACTCAACTGTTAAAATGTGGAAAATTCGTTTTTTCATGTAAAGTTTTATGAAGACCTGGCATGGGACCAATACAGAATTCCAGGGATTTAGTGATAAATTAGGCACCTCACTGATCTGTATCTTTTTCACACAACTATTCCTTTATCCAGCTTGTATTAAAAAATCCTATCTTCCCTCAGAGTCTCCTTCGGGCACAGGCAGGGCTTGGTTTGAGGCAAGAATCCTGAGCCTCAACTGGGATTCTGCACAGCCTAGTACTAACAGCAATCCCCAGATAACATAGACCAAAGGTAGGATTCTAGGTTAGGAAACAGGAAGAGTCCTTGGGATTCTCCGATTTAAGGAGCTAAAAGAACTAAACCTAGAAAAGTTTGCTTTAGAAATTTGAAAACAGGGGTAGAGGTGGGGGGCACTGAGGAGCAATCAGTGGATGGGCGGGGAGGCTTTAGAGCTGATTGTGATGATGTACACACAGCTCTTTTTAGAAGCGGTTTGACTCTGGAAGTGTCTGATATGTGAATATTTCAAGAAAACAGCTGAAAAGAAAAGAGAAACCAGACTTGACCAATGGTTACTGCGGGTGAAGAGGAAGAGTTGTTTCTTAGGGGACAGCGAGTTTGTTTGAATGGTGGTGAAATCATTTGGAGAGGGATCACAATAATGGCTGTACAACACGAAGAGCACTGAATCATACGTGCAGAAGTTGTTGAATTGGTGAGTGTTTGTTGTATATATTTTGCCAAAATGGAAAAAACATTTACATGAATAAAAATGAGTATGGAGAAAAAGAAAATGTTCTAAAATTGATTGTGGTAAAGATTGTACATCTCTTCTTGACATGGTTGAACTACTGAGTTGTATAATATGTGGATGAAATGTCGATAAAACTATTTTAAAAAAAAGAAGAAAGTGAAACCTACCTAAATGGGAGGGTGGGAGAGAATCAGAATATGTTTATTAAGTTATGATATATGTGTTATGTAACAAGTTAAACACCATCAAATTATCTTTATAGTATCTAATTTTATTATCATGAAACATGATAGAAAGAAAATATTTATGCGATAACCTAAAAGTAAAAAGCAATATATAATACCATAAGCATACTTTGATCAGAATCTACAAGCACCTGGTCTTGCTTTAAAAAAAATTTTTTAAGGGATCAAGTAGAAAGATAATGTTTTGCAAATGACAATGACAACATATGTACAAGTTTACTTGATATAATGGATTTATAGATTGTTATAATAGCTGTAAGAGCCCCCAATAAAATGAGGAAAAAAAAACATTTAATGGGGGGATTTTATAGGACTTGATTTCAATTCTGTTAAGAAAACAAGTATCTATGTAGATGGTAGAAACACATGAAGCTCTACCCGCAAACAGGAAATACATCGTTGTATAAGCACCCTTTCATTGTCATCAAGCCAATTCCTGACTCGTACCAACCCTAAGGCTGCTCTTTTGTTTGGATGCATTTTCATTTGTCAAATGTTCTGTTATGGTATATGGATTATAATACAAAATGGAGACCGTGAAAGATTATAGTTGGTTTCATTTAGCACTTACCCCAGCACAGAATCCACTGGTACAGCAGCACACTCATGAGAATTGCTGTCAGAAGCCCCAGAGCTATTGCCACGTAAGAAAGAGAGGACCTGGGAGAAGGCGCTGCAAGAACAGAAACCAAAGCAAAATCCTGAATCAGTAGAGATGTTGAAGGGGAAAACAGGTCAAGGAAAGGAAATTTGGAATTTGACCCAGTGGGAAATGTGATTAGATTCTTTTCTAGATCTGTCAGGTACTTGCTCTTTAAAGTCCAGGGTAGTCACCCACACCTACTAAGTTAAAAGTATACCTTTGTCTCTTTGTAATTGTGGCTACATGGTTTGATAATGTCGCTTTTGGGAAATCAAATTGATACAATCTTATGGAGAATATTTTGATAAGGTCTACCAAGGGCTAGCAAGAGGCCTACCTGCAGGTACCACCAAGAAGAGGCTGGCCTGATTAATGAAATATATTCTAATTCGCTCTTGATTCTGAACTGTAACCTGTCAGTCCCTAATGAACCCCTTCATCATGAGTAAGGTCTGTGAGTTGTGCGAGTCTCTGCCAACAAATTATCAGAAGTAGCAGAGAAGATCGTGCTGTTGGGGGAACAGCTGGTATCAGATTTGGAAAAATCATTTGGAAAGTGGAGGTGTGGCCTCCACTTTGCAGCTATCAGCCTTCGGCTGTTGCTGCGGCTAATAGCTCATGTCTCCACTAGTGCAGTTAGACAAGGAGGCCTCACCTTGCCATCACACGGTCAACACTTTTTCTTTCTTTATTTTTCTACAATGACATACCTCTCAGAAGTGCTTGGTAAGCTGTTGTCATTGGAAGAGCTAAGGTTTTAGATTAATAGTCAGGGATGAGATAATATTTCACATGAATGCATGTGGCATTTAACCTCTATTTTTTTCACTTTGAATTTAAAGTTTGAGAAAAGATTTCCAAGTCTGAGAACATATTTCCATTTTCGATGTCATAGGTGTATAGTAGGGGAAGTTGGGAGAGATGGAGAGCTATTAACAATGAGTACAAGAAAGAAGAAAATGCTTTAAAATTGATTGTGGTGATGGCTCTTTTTAATAGGATTGAACTATTGCATTGAATTATATGTCAATGGAACTGTTGAAATAAATAAAATTTAAAAAATAAAAAACAAAACAATTTACACCAAGGAGGAATATTTAATGAAATAGAAAAATAAATGTTAATTAGATATATAAAATTAAAAACAGAATCAAAACATAATTACATCTGTGTAATAACCATCATCCAAAAAATTTAGTAAAATGAAAAAAAAATTTTTTGAAAATATTTTTAAAATTTACTTTCAAGAAGTATATATTAAAAGTCTCGGAAAAAAAAAAAAAAGTCTCGGACTAGAGGGTATATAGTAGCACCAGCATATAAACAAATTAAATCATACAACAAAATGTTATTATGAGTAATATTTTATTTTATTTTTTCTTAATGTTCTTATATTTGCTCTCTCATACTTACCATATTTTCTACAATGCTATAGTAATACTTTGGTATTTTTAACAAATTAATGACATTTTTAAAGCTCCTAATCTTTTTTTCTATCTTCAAATAGGACACTTGAAATCTACAGTAGGGCTGAACATTCTGGCAATATATAAAAATGTGTCATTTGCACGGTGTATACATTTTTTTAAATTACACAGAGAAAATAGGAATAGTTTTTCAGGTTCCAATTTATCACCAGTTTTGTGACCTTGAACTTATATACTAAAATGTACATTTCTTTTGACTTAATATTGCCACTCCTTAGAATGTGACACGGATATATTACAAAAAGAAAAAGATGATACAATAAAGATGTCTAATGCTGTTATTATTGATAATAATAAAATTTAAATGCCCAAGACTATTTAAATGATTTTGTAAATTATGCAATGCTTTCAAAGGATATTAATAAAAATATATAATATTAAAATTACACAGCAACACGACAGCTTGTATAAATGAAAAAAATAATAAAGGATGTAAGATTTTTTTAATCATATAAAAATAATTACATAAAATTATGTAGGCCTCTAAACCCAAATTAAATGAGAATCTGGGAGAATTTTTAAATAATTTAATAATTGGTGGCAATTATTTCTTTCATTGTTCTTGAAGTGTTTGTAGTTACTACAAATCTTTGTTCAAAGGCAATTTGCCTAGTTTTAATGTAAAAGCTGAGCAATAAAAGTAAATCTTTGACAGATTTTTGAAGAGCTAACAGATCTAGGCAGTAGCAGTAGCACAACAAATTGGCTTACATGTTGCTTGCGCAAGATCTAGTTTTCAGAGTAAACAAGTGCCTGGGAAGTCTCTCCCTCTGCCTCCTAAGAGTTTTCTATACTAGCACCTAAACATGCTTAAGTCGGGAAACATTCACTGGGCCAGAATGAGAGAAAACCAACCACAAATGTCACCACCTTTAATGCTGTCCTCTTTTAGCAGCTGGCTTGTTATTGAAAGGGATCTGTAATACACTTCATCTGCTCTCCTATGTTTCCATAACCCATGATCAGTAGTATAGCTACCCTGTGCTTTTAAGGGCTCTCGCGCCATCAAGTCATTCTGATGTACAGTATCACGCTATATATAGGCCATGGTAGAACTGTTGTAGGACTGTAACTCTTTACGAAGTAGAAAGCCCAGTGTTTATCCTGCAGAGCTGGCTGGTGGTTTCCAACTGCTGACCTTGCAGTTAGCAGCCTAACGGTAACCGCTACACCACCAGAGCTCCTTTTAAAACCAAGCTCACTGTCATTGAGTCGATGCCAACTCATAGCCACCTTCCAGGGCTCTAGGAAAGGAAGTTATTGGCCATCCACATATAACAATGTCAGGATGAACCTGGAGCTACGATCCTTTGAGAGTCTACTAGCTAAGATTCAAAATCAAATATTAGCGTTGGCGTTTACACTGTTATCTGCCTGTCTCGGGTAGTGTTCTTTCAGGTTTCCAGATAAAAAATAAAGTTGTTGATCTGTTTGCTTTTCATTATCAAATCCCCAGAGTCACAGAGACTACCGCCTGTAGTGTTCTTGTTACCTTTGCCCTGGCACCAACCCTTGGGGGGGAAAGTTGCAGATAGGTAAGTCTGTCTCTTTTCTTACAAAAAAATCTTACCCACTAGCAAAAATAGTCTTTCTCCTTGTTACACAGTCAGGAAAACCGAGATGCCTAGAATTTCAATAGCTGATCCAAGGTCACGCCAAACCTAACTAAAAACATGAACTTCTCCCAACAAAGCCCTTGCTTTAGCTCAGGTGGTTTAATAAAGAATAGCAGCATTGCCCTAGAATAAAGATTGGCTTCATAGAAGTGAATATCAGAAAAGAATTGATCTGGGTACTGAGATCACAGACAGGATCATCAACCAAAATTTCACATTCCTATTCTCGCTGGATGTCAAGATGAACCAAAAGAATTGCCTCAAATTGTCCTGCATCCACACGTCGTCCACCTCACTCACCCTGCGCCTATGCATGCCCACTGTGCACAGCTACTCATGGGCACTTGGTCCACTCACCTCTTCGCTGCTCACCGAAGTCATTCTGCACTTGGGGAGCAGCAGGCGACTCTAAGAAGGAATAGATGGAACTGTCAGTTTGCTCCATCTACTTGCTGCCTTTCGCATTCAGTTGAGAGAGCAAAAGTATGAGAGTGGAGAGATAAGGATCCGTGAGAAAACAGCTCAATCTCTAAACTGCTAGCAGGAAACTTAAAGGTTGTTTTGTGTTTAAAAAAAAAAAGCGACAGCTCTCTAATCCAACATGACAAAAACAGAAGTAATATTTCAGGAAATGGTTCAACTAGAGGAATTAATATTGTAAAGTGTAATATTTTTGCCCATACACTTTTGCAGATGCACAATAAATACATATTAAGTTGATTTCCCATCTGGCCTGATCCTGAAAATTCTCTTAAATCCAGCTATCTTGATTATGAAAAATGAAATAAAAAATAAGTGTCATTCTTAGTTGTGATTTATCATAGATTTTTGTCTCTATTTTGTTTCCTTCTGAGAAAACAGATGCGTACCCAATGGCCTGATTTCATTGTCTCTTGGACCTTTTGAGTAGATAGAGAGAGAGAATTCTGGGAAATGCGGTATTTCATCCTTGGAGACGGAAGACACTTCTCTCTCTCTGCCACTCCCTGGGAAACACTGCAGCTGACAAGACACATGGAACTATCCCAGTGCCCAGAGCTGGAGAAGCCACATGGACCTACCCTGATGCAACCAGACCTCTGAAGCCGGAGAAGCCACATAGAGACCCCTGCCAGCACTGAGATGCTTACAATGCCACAGAGCAGTTGGCGGTTTTGAACTGTTGAACTGTTTGAACTGTTGTAGTGGTTAGCATAATACACTACACCACCAGAGTCAAGACAACTATAAAGTGGAACAAATTATACAAATATATGCAAAATGTTAATAATTTACTTCTAGTATATAAAGGGTTAATAAACATAAGGTAAGGGGAATGAAACTTTGAGAATAGCTAAGATCCTCAAGAGAAAGCATGTACACACGGAAGACATAATATAGCCCACAAAGACTAAGTTCTACATCCTGCTTTGCTGATTGATGGCTGGGATCTTGTCCTAGGGAAAAATCATCTCAAGATTGATAACAGTGGTGGGAAACAAAATTTTATTTGGCATATTCATAAAGGAGAAGAGAGGGATGGGAAAAGGAATGGCACACCATCAAAGCTAAGTCTGACTAAACCCAGAAAGTCATTCATATTTTTGTTCTTTTTATACAGAGTTGGTAGTGGTTTGGTTTTTGGGGGTTTTTTATGTGAACTATCTTTATAACTTCAGTGCTCTGTACACAGCTCAGCAAATATTTCTTGAATTGAATTTTTTAAAACCATTTTATTGGGGCTCATACAATTCTTATCACAATCCACACATACATCAATTGCGTAAAGCACACTTATACATTCGTTGCCCTCATCATTCTCAAAACTTGCTTTCCCGCTTGGGTTCCTGGAATCAGCTCCTCATTTTCCTTTTTCCCCTCCCCCTCCCTCCCCGCTCCCCCCTCCCTCATGAACCCTTAATATTTTATAAATTATTATTTTATCTTATCTTACACTGCCCGGCGTCTCCCTTCACCCACTTTTCTGTTGCCCACCCCCCAGGGAGTAGGTTATATGTAGATCCTTGTGATTGGTTCCCCCTTTCTACCCCCCTTCCCGCCTAGTATCACCACTCTCACCACTGGTCCTGAGGGGTTCATCTGTCCTGGATTCCCTGTGCTTCCAGTTCCCATCTGTACTGCTGTGCATCCTCTGGTCTGACCAGGTTTGCATGGAAGAACTGGGATCATGATAGTGGGGGGGAAGAAAGTATTTAAGAATTAGAGGAAGGTTGTGAGTTTCATTATTGCTACACTGAGTGACTCAGCTCCTCCCCACTACCCCTCTGCAAGGGATGTCCAGTTGTCTACAGATGGGCATTGGGTCCCGATCACGTGCTCCCCTCATTCACGATGATATGATTTTTTTCTCCCCGCCTTTGGTGCTTGAAACCTGGTCCCCTCAGCCCTTCATGATCACACATGTTGGTGTGCTGCTTCCAAGTGGGCTTTGTTGCTTCTGGGCTAGATGGCCGCTTGTTTACTTTCAAGCCTTTAAGACCCCAGATGCTATATCTCTTGATAGCCGGGTACCATCAGCCTTCTTCACCACACTTACTTATACATACATTCATCTACAGCGTTTATATGGGGAAGGTGATCACACAATGATGGTTTTTGTTCTTTGGTGTCTGCTACCTGATCCCTTCAACACCTCGTGATCACACAGGCTTGTGTGCTTCTTCTCTGTGGGCTTTGTTCTTAAGATAGATGAGATAAATATAAATTGTAACTTTTGCTGGAGGAGTAGGGAGCTTTAGAACTGATTGTGATAAGATATATACAACTGGTTTTAAAAGCAGTTTAGCTATGGAAGTGTATGATACGTTAATACACTTAATGTCAAGAAAACAGCTTAAAAAAAAACAACGACCAATGGTTACCATGGGTGAACGAAGAAGACTTGTTGCAAAGGACGCATTGAGGTTATGTTGATGGTGGTGGAATAATTTGGAACAGGATATCAATGCTGGTTGTACAACACAGAGTATAATCGGTAGCACTAAATTATACATGCAGATGTTGAATTGGAGAATGTTTTGTTATGTATATTTTTGACACAATTTTTCAAAGGTTATATGAATCACAATGAGTACAAGAAATAAGACAATGTTCTAGAATTGATTGTGGTGATAATTGTACAACTCTTCTAGATATGATTGAATTATTGGATTGTATGATATGTAGATAAAGTGCCAATAAAACAGTTACCAAATAAATAATAAACCGTAACTTTGCCAAGCCATTGTCAACTGTTTTATGACAAAGACAGTCAGGAGGGATCTTGAGTTAAATCCATTAGGCCAGAATTGGGGAAGACAAAGGAGAGGGCTCTCTTCTATTTGCATATCCAGGTCTTGAAGGGGAATTTCCTAATGTCTACCTTTATCCTTTTGTGTATGTTCCTCCTTCACCTACCATATATACTCGAGTAGTAGCAGACCCAAATATAAGCCAAGGCACCTAATTTTACCACCAAAAAACTGGGAAAATTTATTGACTTGAGTATAAGCCTAGGGTGGGAAATGCAGCAACTACTGATAAATTTCAAAATAAAAATAGATACCATTAAAATTACATTAATTGAGGCATTAGTAGGTTAAATGTTTTTTTTTTCTTCTTCTTCTTTTTCTTCTTTTTTTTTGGTTAAATGTTTTTGAATATTTATTTCAAAGAAAAATAGTAAATGAGCTCTGTAAGTGGAAAAGAGGGTCAACAAAAACAATATGGTATCAACAATATACTTGCTGTGTTACTGCTTACACTGCTTTACTGCATATACACAGCACAGTTTGTATAGTTTGAGGCCTAATGCAGGCTGATGATATTCTAGAATGTGATGACATGACGGTTTGCATAGAGCAGCCTGTGTTAGGGCTCAGAATGTACATGCTGCATTGTGTATGCACTGCATTACTGCATGTGTTGCATTAGCACGTCCAACAGTAATACAGCACATGCAGTAACAGTGCATACACAACGCAGCATATATATTATGAGCCCTAACACAGGCTGCTCTATGCAAGCATTGTCAACACTGGGTCCAGACAGGGTTTAATAAGAAAACAAAAAATAAAATATAGCAGACTAAGAACTGTAAATAAACATACTGTATAGCCAAGACCAGAAATATACCAGTACTTGTATTCAGCAATGCTTGGGTGGAGCAAGGGGGCGTGACCAAGCAGAGGTAAGACTGTAAAGGCTATGTCATTGGTCACAGCCCTGGAGAAGAGTGGGAGAAGAAGAGCTGCCACATCCGACAAGGATCCTGACAAGGATGCGGTGCGCCCCAGGTACCAGCACACAGAAGCAGGCAGGTTCTTGCCCAGTACTGCACAGATAGCGCAGAGGCTGCCGGCATGCAGAAGAAAAGAAGAGTGGTGATATCAGCAGTCATCAGATCAACAACAGAGGCTTCAGGCACCCACAGATGAGCAGGAGATACCAGTGATACCAGATACCACACTACATTAGAGAACAGGTAAGTGGGACCCTCACTCGAGTATAAGCCAAGGGAAGCTTTTTCAGCATAAAAAAATGTGCTGGAAAACTCAGCTTATCCATGAGTATATATGATATCTAGTCTTTGTCTATGTTCCTGTCTATTCAATGTCTATGTTCCTCTTACATCTATCTTTCCCCTAAGTATCCTGCCCTCCTGGATTACCAAGGAGATTGCTCAGGACTACTGCCCTTTCTTGTCTCCCGGGCTTCACTTTAGCAGCTTGGTGGTCAGAAAATGAACGTGGGGACTCAAGCTAGCATTTGGACTGATTTTGAGGTTTAGCATGAAACCAGGGCTCTCTCAGGATGCCTTTGCTTTTAGGCACCAACTTAAGCTTAAAAGCTGGTAAGCAACCATCTAAGGCACAACTATTGGCCTCTCTATGTCTGGGGGAAAGAATACTGATAAAAACTGAAGATACATGAAAACAATTGTCTCAATGCCCTGATGATCCGTATTAACATCATTCTCCAACCAGAAGAACTAGATGCTGCCTGGCTACCACTATCAACTGCTGTGAAAAGGGTCGCAAAAGAAGGCCCAGCTTAGAGTGGAAGAAAAATGTAGAACGAAACTCAAAATCATAACATTTACATTTTTTCTTAAGCCAAGGTTTACTCATCAGATAGAGACTGGTGGGACCCTCGAGATTAGGGTCCTTGGCAAACCACTAGTTCTGTAAATAAGCTCTCCCACCCCTGGCTAATTTTCAGCCAAACAATAGACAAGTCTACAGGAAGAATAAAACTTGGTAGGCAGTGTTAGAGGAAACCAGCCTCTAACAACCGAAGGGTCAGTAGGCTCAATTGTACGATTATAATATATAAAGATCATAGTTTTCATATGTATATAATATATAAAGACAATAGTCATAGAGAACAGGAAAGATAGGAGAGAGAGAGTATAATAAAGGAGTCAGACA